TAATAGGTAAGTCATCAAACCCTGAAGAGTAGCACATGGTGTCTGGCTCACGAATTTGCGAGCCCTTCGAATAGCGTGATCAAAGACGGAATGTAATTCCCCAACCTTTGTCTTCCACAAGTCATTCCGCGATAGCCGAATGGGCAGAGCCTGCCAGTCATGACGCCGCCCTTTCTCATTGTTTGCGCCTCTTCTCTACGAACGGTGAAAAGAGGGGGCGTTTCTATGGAAAAGGACAACTGTCAAGAGTCCACTCCCAGACAGACTTTTTTCTTTCCTTTTGTCTCTTTGTTCCTACTTGACATATCCTTAGGCTCTCAATCGAGTAAATGGGGCAAGACCCACTCGATGATTGGCATTTTCGCTCTCTGCTTGGCATGGCTTCAACCATTTGTGAGCGCTATGAGGTACGTTCACATTCCAGATATAACCCTGGCTCTACTTACCTTTCACTGCCTTTCTTCAAAACAAGGGCTTGGTTTTCCCGGAAACTCTTCTCCAGGGGAAAATTTGGCGTAAAACTGTCCATTTCAGGTGCAACCCGGGCCATCCACGACGACCATACTTCAACTGGGCCCATCGCTGTATCGGAATAACTGCTATGATACTGGCTAGTAAGTTTCAGGCTTGCTTCTGTAGACACTGCGTAAAAGATAGTTATCGATCAGTTTCGCAATAGAGAAAATGCAGCGCGCTGTTTTGAGAACAGCTGAGCAGAAAGGCCACGACTGCCTGATTAGTTTGTCCTCTTTAGTAACTCAATGAGCACATGCAGCACTAAAAACCAAGCATATGTAAGTTTAGTCACGGAAAGGCGAGCAGACCGCTCGCCTGATATTCGTGCTACGGTCACGCTCAGGCGAAAAATATGGGTATGACTTTTACTTCATGTTCACTATTCAGCAACTGCGATTTGCATCGCTGCCGACCACTTCCTCTCCATATGGCCTCATCGTTTTGCTCAACTGACGCTATCTCTGATGCCGTTGGTAGTGCTCATCGTGCTCAGTGCTATTTTCGCACCCCTTGATAAACTCGTAGAGGTGAACGAGTTGAACTTCGAGAAGGTTAGTTGAGTCTTCGTGCTTACAGATTGCTTTTTCTAACAAAATATTTACCCATATTGCCTCATACAGGCGCTCCCTTCTCACATAGCCAACTCGGCAAACAGTCCGAATTCCCCGGAACGGATTCAGCAGTGAGGGAGCGCGCTGTTGCTGGGCAGTCAGACTAGCACGGGAAATGCGTTGAAGGTTTCCCCTCGAACTGTTTCCAAAATGATAGGGCAGCCGCTCGGGGACCGCATACCTCAACGATACGAGTTACGGACACTACTTGATCAGGGTACATGGTCGAGATGCGTAAAATCCCCCTTTCCCCGATCAGTTCTTCGAGTACCACCTCCTTCCCCGATCCTGCTTACCATAATAAAATGCCAGATTTTTCCAGCACGCCACAAATTTCTCAAACAAATTTCGAGCTTCTCCCAAAAAGCCGTCGAGTCGGCAAGAGGTAGGTTCTCCTATGTTAGTGCGCAGTGCCGGCAACTATAGGTGAGCGACGGGCTGGCAGGTGAAGGAAGACATATGGCCCCAGTGAAACGGGAGAAATTGCGCAATCCAAAAAAATTTGCTTACGACTCGGATGAATTCCTTTTGAAGCCGGAGACAACCTCCCACTGATGAAACACGACTCCTCCCGAACTTTTAGCTTGGATACCCTCTTTCGGAATTCTGCTAATAATGCTGTACCCCAACAAACAACGGCTGGCGCGTTTGTTTGTGCGCCGAGCCATAAGAGTCAACCATGAATTCCTTCTTGAGAGGCCGACATATTCAGAGAGATCCCTCCATTTTTTATCATCTTCTGGATCGAGTATGATTGAGATGGGTCACGCAGCCCGTGGATTAGCCCTTGAAGGCACATAGTACGATCACACATAGTTTGGGTATGTGTGATCGTACTATGTGCCTACCAGCCCCCAGCCGTCGAAGCGTAGCGGTTTCCCCTTCCTAACATGTGAAGGAATGGCGATACAGGACCGTGAAACACGCTAATTCCTCCATGCTCCGCCTTATACCTTTTGCGGCGCAAGCTCCCGTCTATGCCAACAGCCGTCCGCGCGGCGCGTGTCGCGCGCAGCGCTTTTGGCACTTTGCAAGTCGTGTAATTGCGCTTTGGAATACAAGTAAAATGCAGTTTCCTGATGCGGATAACATTTGAGGTGTTGCTCATGCTGCAAATTCCGAATAGGAAGGTGATGAAGATGACAAAGGCTAAATAAAGAACAGCGAATGTAGATGTAAATAAAACAAAAGATAAAAAATAATCCGGAAAAAATCCAAATTAATCAAAATCGCGTGTAAATTTCTGCAACTCGGCGCGATTCCGACTCCAAAGCCCTAAAAATACTTTGAAATGACGACTGGAACGTTTGAGCAGCACCTAAAATGTTATCCGCATCAGAAATTGCGTTTTACTTGTATTCCAAAGCGCAATTACAGGACTTGGCAAAGTGCCAAGAGAGCTGCACGCGACACGCGCGCACACGACGGCTGTTAGCATGAACGGGAGTCTGCGCCGCAAAAGGTATTGGGCGGAGCATGGAGGAATTAGCGTCCTGTATCTCCATTCCTGCGCATGTTAGGACGGGGAAACCGCTACGCTTCGACAGCTGGGGGGCTGATAGTCACACACACCAAAACTATGTGTGATCGTACCATGTGTCTTTAAAGAGAGCGATGAGCACAGTTCACGTGGCTACCCTTGCCCTTTGTCCCTGCCCCCTCCAACCACTCTGCCCACACCCTCAAGTGCAGTAGTCCCCAATTTTCGTTTCTCTTTGTCCTCACTTGTATTCCTTCATGGCCATCCTGTACAGCTGCATTTCAGATCAACCGAATTCGTGTCATGCTGGTAGCTGTTGGCGTTCTAGCAATGGCTGCAATTACGATAACCTTATCCATATTTATTGGTATTGGAGCATAATTGAGTAATAAATCAAAATTATAATTATTACACTTTTCACGTTGTACATGGGATTGTATATTGATTTTTTCTAATAAATATGAAGATAAAGAAATAATCCAAGACTTGAATATCGATCGCAGACTAGAGGGCTTGGTTGGCCTGGCGGGAGTTAATCCGTGATGTGACCCTCGGACCGCACGCGTGGAAAGCATGCCACTTGCCACTACATCACCTTCGCCTCTGAAAACTTGTATCTGGGGTTCCGGCGAGTTTGAGACGATAGGAGGGTAACAAACGGCTGGCACCATACTATTGCCTCATTCTCTCTACCAGCAGTCTGCTACTGGTCGCTGGTGGACGCTGGCAGACGCTAAGTCGATAACTTACGACGTATCCACTCGGCCATGCTACTAGATCGATAACATACTTTCCTAGTCGCTGACGCTGCCGGACGCTCGGAACGCTGGTGGACGCTATTGGTCGCTGGTGGACGCTGCCGCAAAGTATGAACGCAGCCTAATAAGCTGCGCTGGTGGGCGCGGCGAATGACACAGCGTCCGTGTTGTTCTGCCTGGCCGTTTGCATATGAGTGAGCGATCGAAGTGAGCCACTGCTTCCGTAACTCAGGCCGCTTTAGGAGTTCACTCCTTCCTCTATCCCCCTAGACTCCGGTGCCCGCCGAGGTTAAGCGGTCGAGTCAATGTGGTAAAACGAAGATGCGCTGGAGGCGGTATAACATGGCAATCGAAATGACATTAAACTTGGGAAATTGCATTTTGCACGCGGAATACGGTCGCAGCACGCGATACCGGTCGCCAGCAATATTTCGGCGACTGGTTTTACTAACAGATGGATTACTGCTTTTTTTTATTTCTGGATCGAATTATTACAAGACGCGACTGTTTCCAAGTATCGCCTCACTCCGACCCTCCTCCCCTGGCTTGCTTTTCACCTCCTGCTCTCTCTCTCTCTCTCTCTCTCTCTCTCTCTCTCTCTCTCTCTCATCTCGCCTTTCCACGATTCATCCCGCCCGTATCGCCAAGCGTACTCATACCCTTCCAAGCGACAGAATCCCAGATTTTCTGCACNGCGGGAAACGGCCATGGTCAGCAGAATTATGCATCACGCAAGGGATAACCCGGTAATGGTGACCTTCCCCCAAAAAAGGACTGCTGACGGCGACCTTCCCGCAGCGTACCCATGCACCTCCTCATTCACCCCACCTACGACCAATCGTCCCCTTTCTGTGGTGTGCTGTGAGATTGGAGCGTTGCATGACCCACTGGACCCCAGCCTTTTCGAAAAATGAATGGCTTCATCCGCAAGGGAACTTTTGCAGGACGGTGGTAGAAATTTGTCATCGCCGGAAGAATTTGCCCAAACTATGTTAAAGGCAGTTGGCACGATGGTTTCCTACTTAGCCTAAAATGCTAGTAGGGCGCTGTATAGTGGGGAAATGGCGAAAGAACGGAGTGAAACGGTCAAAATCCTGCGAAGAAAAAGCCTCCGTTCTCAGTGACTTGTAAATCGATTTCGGACGAGTTTCCCGTAGGCATCTTACCAATCACCGCTACCGAAGATACGGCTGCATACACTCCTTATCCCTGAGCCAGAGTAGGCGTGGCATTTGAACATGGCACGGAACTGGTTACTCGTGGAATATTCCAGTCTGGGACAACTGTCATCTTGTTCTCTGTTGGACAGAGACACGACACAATTGGTGTCGAAATGAAATTATCTCACCGGAAATATAGACACTTTCAG